TAAAATGGTAGCCAGCAAATTTTGTTTTATTTACTTTCATGAGTCTATGTCTTTGCCTTCAAATGAAGCAAAACCTTTTTTCTTTTGGGTTATGAATTTCGGTCTCTTTTGGACATTTTGGGTTAATAATGCCTTTCTTATGTTTGACATGTTACAGATAAAATAGCACCTTGACATGTAAATTGCAATATATTAAAAGTAATTTTGAACTTTGATTGAAATTAAATGCTATAATTAATTGATTAGACGAGTTAGAATACTTTTAAATCATTCTGTGATTTTATTCAAAAGTCTACATATAGTTTTGTTTTACTTAAACTTAAGCCAACTAATCATCAAATTCTGGTGAATTGTGTTTAAATTTAAAGAATTAACTTATTAATAATGAAGGCTTAATTGCTCTATTCATTTTTTTACTTTAAGTGTGATTTTGATTTGTTTAATTTTAATTACTTGCATTTAAATTTATAATTAACTATTTTTATGCATAATTAATTTAATCTTATAAAATTAATAATTTACTATTTTTATATTTTAATAAATTTCATGGCACATTTTAGTAAGTTTTTCAAGTAATAAGTTTAGAAAATAAGTACTCGTTTAAGTTATTTATTCGAATACATTTTAGTTATGTTTTGTATATCTTGATTTATAGTGTGTTTGAATAATTACTTATTAAAAATTGGTCAAATAAGTTTAAATTAAAACTTTTAAAATAAATGTCAATATATTGATAATGCAAGAGACAACCTATCTTTACCTACTAAAAATAAGACAAAGGCAAGTTGATATATTTTGAAAATAAGTTTAAAACGTTGAATTATCCTTTTTTTTTAATGGATTAGCGAGTTAACAAGTTAGTTTACTTAATAATTATGAAAAAAGTAAAAGCATAATTTACGTACTCTAAGAATGAGACATAAAAAAAATGTTAGTAAATATGCAAAGAAAAATAAAACTAGAATTATAAACAAGAAGAGAATTAAAAAAGGGAAACAACGATTGGGGGCACTCATGGAAACATGAAGACAAGAATCACATGCCCAAAAGTTTAGGAATAGTGACCAATAAGAAGAATAATTCCCGGGTCAAATATGCTTTTTTGTCTTATATATTAATATTATTCTGTATCTCACAAGTGTTCTATCAGTATTATTATATTTTCTGTCAAGTTTTGAAGAACACAGCTTATAATAAAATAATTAAAATGCGTAAGACAATCCATAACTGGTCTAGATCTTTGCGTTAATCAAGGATTGGTAAGTTGGATTAATAAAACATTGTTCTAATATTAATCAGTCAACTTATGTCTTGTGGTTTATGCCCTGCTCCCAAGTTCAATTTTTAACTTTCTATGTCTTATCTTTTTGTTCTATACCAAATGTTATATTCCTCCTAAATTTTATACCACACTTCGTCTCTCTGTGTTTGTTTCGATATCATCAAAAGGCCCTTCTGTCCATAAAATGAATTTGCGATGTAACCTTATATGTTTGTCTATTTGTTTTCAAATAAATGCCATTTTCTGATGAGTCAAGATACTCCATTTTGAAATTATTTCTGAAATTAAATTATTATTTAAGTGTGGAATTTATATAATTTATTTATAAAAAATGCATTTTAAAAGTAACTTACTGTGTTTATTAATATATAGAACCTGGGCTGGCCAAATATTTATTCGCTAGCACATTTATTGCTGAAAGTGAGACATAAATGCACGTAACATTGCCAACTCTGGAATAATAGCTAAGCATGAGTTCTTAATTACCTGTGTGAGTTGCTGATCAATTATTATTATTATTATAGTATTATTTTAATGATACGTTCTGCTTAATTAATGTTTGGTCAAAGGCATCGGTTTACACATATGAAATATATATTATATTAAATATTTTAAATTGTTATAAAATCATTAAATTTTTAAATAATAAATATTTATTTTAATAAAAAATTATTTTCTTACACATTAGAAAATTATTTAAAATATTGTTAAAGGAAATAAGAAATGTTTTCTTATTAAAAATTACAATTAAAATATATTATTAACTTTTTATTTTAATTAGTACTTTTTCTTACATATATTTAAGGATATAATTTTATAAAAAAAAAAATGCTAACTGATGTCCTAAAAGCTGTGGTCAATGAATTAAAAATAAAAATATTTAATTGTAGAACCTAAAAATGTAATCGCTCTATTTTGATAGATTTTAACAAATTTTAATAAAAAATTATTAATTAATTTTTTTTCATTTTATTTAATTTATATCTGAACTAGATCACTTATTTTAGTATGGTAAATAAGTTTATCACTAAACTTTTTTATATATATAAAAATTTAAACTCAAGACTTTACTTAAATAATATTAAGTTACTTATTATTAAAATTAATTTTTATTAGTATTTATTATTTGATGTTGTTAATAATATTTTTATACATAATAAATTTTTTGCTAAAAGTTAAATAATATCACAAGAACTTGTGCATAGATAATTTTAAATATTATAATTTTAAATATTAATTTTTATTATACATCCTTAAATATATTTAAAAAAATCGTTTAATTAATGAACATGTGAAAGTTAAATCGGTGGTCATATGCAGATAAGCCACGATCAATCATGACCATCCATTAATTGATCAACGGTGTCAACTGTTGATATTGACAGTGAAACGGATGAAAGGGGTCAACGTAATTTAAAAAAGTTTGGAACTCGTGACTACGACGAAAGCGAAGAGGATATTCACAAAACGCATATTAATGACTTTGCTTTTCCCAAAACGACATCCACACAAATTCAATGCACTCGATCTGCATTTATTAAATGAAATAAATATAAATTCCGTGGGTTTTTATCCTGTGCATGGAGGTGTACCAAAACCCGGTTCACAGCCTTAAGATTTTGCATCTCACACGGTTCCCACAATTTGAACGGGTTTCATGGGCAGATACAACGGATCCAATCTACGAGCGGAAACGGGGTGTCGTGTGGAGAAGCTGTGGTGTCTGACAAGAAACGACAAATTGTTTTCGACGTTTTAGTAACTGAGTCTACCATTTGTGCCCTTCCGTTAAGTCACTGTCTTTGCTCTTTGCTCCTTCATTTTCTTTTTATTTCTTCCTGTCATTGTCATTCTTCACAGACCAATGATCATAATTTTTTTTGGGTAAAAGACATTGTTTACCAAAGATGTTGAAATGTTCATATTTATCATGAAATAATGATTTACATACATTCTACTGATCATCACTCGAGATAAGTTGGTGGATAAAATTAAAACTGTGTTTCATGCTTATATGGTTTGAATGTCAGATCTCAGAAGTGATTTAGAATTATATTACTCGTTGTTTTTAGTATCTATTTTCATATATAAAAAGCACCTTTTGCTTGCTTTTAATCGATTAATTAGTTACTTTCAACTAGGTAATTAAGATTAAATAAGCTTTACAGACAAGAAACAAAATTCACGAAGCATTATTCTATACGTAAATAATCTAATCAGACAATAATTAATTACATGATTGTATAGTGTTATGAAAACAAGCACGTTGAAGATAAGGCCATTTTTTTTTTTTCATTTTAGATTTTTTTGTCTCGATCTTTTAAGTAATTGTATTTTTAGAAAAAATAAATAAAATAAAGAATGAAATTATTATGTCATTTAAAATTATAAAAAAAATTTAATCATTTCAGGTTTAAAATGTTTAATACAAAATGCTGCATGATAACTTATTGTTCTTTTCAGAATTCTGTTGACATTTGGCAGTGCTACGCGTCCATGCAGATGCTTTCTAACATAAATGATTTGAGGAAAGGACAAACAATACATAGGTTAAAAGTATTTAATGTGACGTTTAATAGCTAGTCAGCTTGTAGCTACCAGCAAAAATCCAAAATAGTGCTGCTGTGGGAACATTTGAATTATTCAGTAAGTGATGTATAAATGACTCATTTAATTGATAAAACACTGAATTAAGAAAGTTAGCATTTTCAAACCTATGTATTATATAATTGTTGTAAAACCATTAAACCAGGAATAAATGGATGTAATGACATTTTCAAACCTATAGCATGTAAGAATCTTGCTTGGTATCTAAGCAACTCAATCCCTTCGTCAGTGTTTGGTTCTACATTTCAAAATATTTTAGAACTAGAAAACAAAAAATCTACCTTACCTTGTTTTTATTTAACCAACTGAAAAACCAGTAAAGTGAGAATTAAGAAATCATCAATGAATATAGGAAGGGATGAAAAGGATAAACAGAAGGAAAAAAGTTAGGCACTGAAAAAGGAAAATGTACAACCTATATGTTGTTGTTAATTAGGGGGTGGGTGGAAGATCTTGCAACATGGCCCTCATGCAATTAGACTTCGTTCTTCTTTCCTAGCAATAGCATCAACTACTCCACGCTTAGGAAGGATTGTTTATGTATATATAAAAGAGCAAATGGGAAAAAAAAAGATGGGAAAGTTTTAACTTACATTCTTGACTTATTGTTAACTTAGTTGATATAGACATATTGTTTGAAAAGTGTCAAATTATTCAATTAACTTATAGTTCTATCTAACATAATGATTTTAAGATTGTTTACACTAGATAGAGTTATCCCACGTATATAAGCAAAACGCCATCTACTATTGTAATTTTCTAGTATTATTTCACGTTAAAAGAAAAGGATTTAGCTTCGTTAAACTAAAAAAATATAGTAAAACATTATTTTATTTAAATTTAAATTTATTATAAATATAATTAATTTAAAAATAATTGACGAATGCATTTTATTTTCTTATTTTATACATTTTTACTTTAAAAAATAAATAAAAAAGGTAATACCACTAATAAAAGAAGACAAAGCTGGTCAAACACAGCAGGGAGTTGGTCGTTTCCCGCTACATTAGATAACGTTCCAATATAAACATTAAACTTTATAAATGCACAATCAAGACAAGAATTTAGAGAGAGGAAGTGTTTGTATGTGTTTCCAGAGCAAGCTTTTAAGGGGTTGTTGGCAATTAACAAAAGCAGAACCCAACAACTGTCCATTGCAGTGGCTTGCGAGTAACACATGATTTTGCCCATGAGAGAAGGTAACGCTTGGGGCAGCACAACACAGAGGGTAATACCCCAAAAAGCAAAAGGTGGGTCATGAGGTAAAATAAAATTCACAGCAAAAAAAGAAAATCAGTGATATTACTCACTCCCCTACCACCCCACATCACACCATACACTCACAGATCTCTAATCTCTTGCAAAGTAAAAAGCTTTGCAAGCAACAAAACAACCCCATCACCTAAATCCAGGAAAAGGCCATTTCTTTACATCTTCCATGACCTGGGTATGGTTTGTCTTTGAGTGAACCAAACAAGCCTTTCTTCACTTCAAACTCTATCTTCTCTTTAGCACTTCTCATAACTTCACACTCTCTCACACAGCTACCCCATGTTTTCTCTCTCTGTTACATCTCTGTCTGCCAGCATGTCAATACAAGTTAAGTTTTTGTGTTGGTCCCGGAGTGAATCAGTGATGTTTCACCCCTTCTCTTGAAGGGTAAGTGGTGAAAGAAGGTGAATAACAGTTCTCTTTTGGGTAGTGCTGTCTGCATTTGTGTGTGGTTTTGTACTCTGTGTACTTCTGCTTCAACATTTGTGTCTGCATTAAAGATGAGGAAGAATGGATGGCAGCTACCTTATCATCCTCTCCAGGTGGGTGTAACTGTAAAGTTTTAATTTTTACTTTTTTTTTGCGGATTTCCTTTCTTTTGTTTTGTGGGGGGTTTGCCATTTTGAGAATTGTTTTTGGTGAAGGTGGTGGCTATTGCTGTGTTTTTGGCTCTGGGATTTGCATTCTATGTGTTCTTTGCTCCTTTTGTTGGGAAGAAGATGTATCAGTATATTGTTATGGGCCTCTACACACCCCTGGTAACCCAATCTTCTACCTTTATCTGCTTTATGCTTATTTTGCTGATTTTAAGTGGGTAGGTGGAAGTGGCGATGAGATCTGCTGTTGTTGCATTCTGATTTTATTCGTGTGTCTCTAATCTTTGTCTCTTATCTGGGTTCCTTCTCCTTCCCTACCTTTTGTTTTTAGTTTTTAGGTGTTAGCCTGAAGATAGCTTTCAATTGAAGGTTGTATGGTGTCTCTGTACTTTATGAAGGGGCCATTTGGTTGCTTCTTATGCCCTCCTTAAGTAAATTACCCTCTTCCCATTATTAAATCCAGTTTTTACTTTGAAAGCACCTTTTAGAAATCGATATATGAAGATATGTAAACTAGAAATCAAGGCTTGAAACTATAGTTGCCTTCATATTTGTTGTTGTTGTTGTTGCCAACTAAGGCACAGATATATACACGTCAGCAATTCTCCAAATTGAAACTGGTTTGAGTTTTTGAATACTGAATTGTCCTAACTCCTTATCATACTCCTTTTTTGACCTTGACAATTCTGGCAATCACAATCCTCTTTGGAGGGGATATTGATACATCTATAAGTCCTTTATTGAAACTGGGACACATTAGTGGAAGCTACCTTCAATGTTGTTACTTAAAGTGGGTGGCATTAAATTTTGCAATGGCTTCATCATTCTTCTTAAATGTAAAACCAATCAATTTCTGAGTACGGTTAACAATTGACTGCTGGGTTGACTTCCTGGTGTCTGCAGTTTTGAAAGTTGGAACTACTATGTATGCTCTCTGATGACACATCCATGGATGTTAGAGATAGCTCTGTATGCTGGTTATTATGCTAACAGTCACTGAATCATTAGCATTGTCTTGAACTTTTAAGTTTCAAGATTTTAAGTAAAGTGTGGAATTAGATCAGTGTGGAAACTGGAAACATTGTTATAATACTAGATTGGGGAAGTTCATAAGGCTGTTGAAACTTGGTACTGACAGTTGCAACTTGCAAGTGGTTTTGTTTGGAGTTTATTATAGATATTGGTTTTGGTGCTCTCTTTGGAGTTTGGGATTTGCATTCTATGTAATAGCTGAGTTCATTAAGACTTTTAGGGAAACTGATTCAATATCATTCTATAGCTTTTTGGTAAAATGATTTGTTATCTTATCCTCCAAAAGCCACAAAACTATAAGCTGCAATAAAATGTTTGAATTGGGTGGAGTAATCTTTATCAAACAATTTATTAACAGGAATGCTTTGGCAAATTGATTAATGAACTTAAGGTTTCTGTGTGCTAAGATATGGGAAACTAGTAACTAATGAACTACTAGTTGGTTACAATTTTAAAGATAAATGTCCGGGATTTATTGTGAACAGTTACTCTTAGATTCATAGTTATAATTTATTACAGAATATTATGGCATCATTTGATCTGTGTATCTGACCTCAAATAGTGAGAAAAGGCTTGGTTTGTTGTTGTAACTTGTATTCTTAGATTTGTAATCTTTTGTTCATTTCTTATTGGATTTTGAACTCAAAAGCAACTTTTACTATCCACTCCTGGAGGGTCAACAGATTTGTGGGTTGATGAACAGAACTCACAGGTCACAATGTCACATCAATCCTTGACAGGTAAAATGGTAGTCTTAAACTGGTAGAGCCAATGGAATATTAAATGGGTGGGAAGCATTATGCACCCACTATCCAATTAAAATTCTTGATTAACTATACTTTGGAGATGTTTTTCTAGGCTGATATGCTTTTGGTACCTATGTTCTGATATTTTGTCCTGCTGTTTACATTCTTTGTGCACCCGCTGTGTTGGGTCAATAATTCTGGTTTTAAATGTGCTAGTATTAGCATGAGTAGAGAATAGCTAACACAAACATACTCACTTTACCAATATTGTGTAACATGTGGTTATTTTTATATCAATTGTATAGACTTGTAAAAGATGGGAAACTATATGTTTGTGTTGATCTGCACAGAGGACATTATCATGTTATATTAATGCCTCACCTCTTGCCAGATTACTTGTGTATTTGGACTGTACATTTGGTGTGCAGCAGCTGATCCAGCAGATCCAGGGGTTTTTAAGTCCAAAAAGTATCTTAAAATTCCAGACAGCAAAAAGTTTGGTGGACTCAAAGATTCTAAACTAGGAGGGGATTCAACTTCTTCGGTGCATGACGGAAATGCTTCAACAGTTGGGCCAAAATCGGTGGAGAAGGAAACATTGGGAACAGAACCAAATTTAAAAGATGTTGCTATTTCAGCAGAGGAGAAGAATGCACCATCACCTTCTTCATCCTGTTTCCAGTTGGTTTGCTCTCCTTGTGCATATGTCTGTGGCTGCTCTAGTTCAAGTAAGGAATCTATTGATCAACAAGCAAGTGAAGATGGCATGTTCTATTGCAGTTTGTGTGAAGTTGAGGTGAGCATTAACATTTTGACTAAAATCCTTTGTTCAGCAAAGTCTATATTTTTGCAGTTCATTCTGTAATATGTTGACTCTGGGTGTGAACAGATAATTTCACCTTAACAATCCTGCAAGCAGAATTAAGATATACCATTTGTGCATTCCATGATCTAATACTTCATAACATTACCAGTTCTGTTACAAATTTGTGTTTATCTTGAAATGCATGTGTTTTTTGCATTACATGAATGCTTAGAGTTAGAGGTTTCATTATGTCAATTTTGATGATAAATGAAGTTTAAATGATTGGGGAATACTGTTGTTGCAGGTCTTCAAGTATAGCAAGCACTGTAGAGTTTGTGACAAGTGTGTTGATCGCTTTGATCATCATTGCAGAGTACGATAATCTTATTTCTCTTTTCTTTGCTTATCAGTTGATGTAATTCTGAAAGACTATTGCTTCTTGGATTCTGCAGTGGCTCAACAATTGTATTGGGAAAAGGAACTACAGAAATTTTTTCACCCTTATGGTTGCTGCTCTCCTCTTGGTAAGCAAAATTTCACCTATATGCCTTTCTTATCATTTGCATGTTCAAGGGTTGCATTATCATTATATAAACTCTGCACCCATGTACGAGCCAAACCATACCCTACAATTCAAATATGATTCTGCTCCAGATCACCAGCATTCTGAAATATGAAATCCTCTATTCTCAAATTACTATTCCTTCATTCCTTTGCGAAGCTACTTTTTTTCCTCATCATACTGAAACTGGATCAGAAGATGAGATCTTAGTAAAGCAGTGGGTTTATAACTTATGGCATGGTTTAATAGAGTGTATATAATTTTTTATATGCTCTTGAAACCAAGGAACATGCTTATATATTTTGTTTCCATATTTTCATTGTCAAATACTTGATATTCTCCCTATCAAGTGCCAAAAGTTGAACTGTCCTAAATCCCAACTTACTTGTTGGAAGCAACGTGCCAAAACCTGAAGAAAACCCCAGAGTAAGCATTTTTAATTTCCTTGTCATTTTCATTTTGATTAACTATTGACAGGTATATACATGGTTTGTGCACCTTGGGCTTGGGATTGCAGCTTATTCTTCAATGGTTGACTGGGATACTTGTGCTTATCTGCTGTTTTGTTGAGAAGAAGAAATTTTCTGCGGATATCTCCTTGAAGTTAGGGAGCAGCTTCTCTCTGGTTCCCTTTGTTATTGTGGTGGTGAGCATTCTTCTCACATTCTTGGTCTTGGGGCATATTATGTGGTTACTGTACTGCTTAATTGGTTATCTATGCATTTTGTGCACACTTTTTTTTTTTTTTTTTTTATCAATCTGTGACTTCTTTCTTTTCCTTGTTCCTTTATGTAATCACCATGTTTCTTATGCACGATGAGCCTTTTCTTTTCACAGGCAGTCTGCACCATTTTGGCTATGATTGCTACCTTACCCCTTGCGCAGCTTTTCTTCTTTCATATTCTTCTCATTAAAAAGGTAAGCTTCAGAACTCTTTTGACTTGGTACTAAAAATTCGCTTCCATACTTCATTTCATTTGTAGAAGCATCTTATATAATCATTCATATAATCTAATCTCTCTGGCATAAAAAGCAAAAAGAAATTGAGAAGCATATTGGACAGTGGGAGATAATAAGTTAATATGAAAATATACCCTTGCCCCCCAGAAGCTTTTCTCTGTTTTCCTGGAGGCAAAATATGAATTCATCTCATTTTAATACAATGAAGTTTCTAAATATTATGATTATTGTGGTGTGACTCAGGGAATCAGTACATATGATTACATCATAGCTTTGAGGGAGCAGGAGCAGGAACAGCAAGGTGTTGGTCAGCAGAGTCCTCAAATGTCACCTGTTAGCTCGCTTACTGGATTGAGCAGTGCAAGCTCCTTTACTACTTTTCATCGCGGTGCATGGTGCACACCCCCACGCCTGTTCCTTGAAGATCAGGTAATTCTTTTTTTATCATTTCACCCTTGCTATTTGTTAATATTTCATTTCTGTATTTTGCACAGGACCTCTGCCTGAAATACCTTTTCACATGACTTTCCATTACGGCACTGGTACATGTGTCTGAATTTAATGTGAATCTCTGGCACAATATCATTTGAAGGAATGACATTATGACATAGTTATTGAAAATCATTCCTCAACAAAAGATGAATTTCACAACAGAAATGAAGAGCAGTTCAATTTTCTTTTTAAAATCAGATGAAATATAATATTGATAATACTTCTTTAATTGGTTATGATCGAGATATGTACAGTTAAAGTAAAACTCCTTTTATGAAAATTGTGTAGCCTCATACTATGATGTATCGGCTTCAGAAGTATATGTAAGCTTTCTTGATGACGCGTGACGTTTTGCATTATGCAGTTTGATGTGGTGCCCCCAGAAACCGCGTCTGTAAGTTCCCTGGGAAAGAAAACAATGAGGGAAGAGCCAATTAAGAAAAAAAATCCTGCAGCAGTCAAAATTAGTCCATGGACGCTGGCACGACTCAATGCAGAAGAGGTTTCCAAGGCTGCTGCAGAAGCAAGAAAAAAATCAAAAATTCTTCAGCCTGTGACAAGACTTAACAATGAGCCTTTCAGGCTAGAACCAGACCACAACTCTGGCAGCAGTGGACGCCGACTAGGCCCTCGGATTGAGAACAACAGAAGACGGGCAGGTAAACGCGTTCGCTTGCCAGCAGACTTACCTATGGAGGCCCTAACAAAATTTTCTGCTGGTAATATTGATAAAGGCTTCAGTGGAACATCTAGTTTGGAACCCCTCCAGCTTGAAGCACGAAGTGCGTTTCAAACAAGCCAAGCAGTGTCAAGCTCAGCTGGCATTGTTGCTTCTTCTCCTGAAAGCAGTTTAGACTCACCTGACATTCACCCATTTCGTGTGTCTTCTACAGAAGCCGAAGAAGCAAGAAGGCTTGCAGGTCTTTCTGCTGCTGGTGCTGCAGCTTTGAAGGGAATTCCATTGTCAAGGTCAACTAGTGATGGATATGAGGCCTCTGGTGGGGAAGATAGTGACAGGGTTCCAACTAGATTTGTTCAGAGATCTACAAATTGGACTAATCTTCTTTTCAGTGCTGATCAGGATGAGAGAGCCTTTGAGCCAAAATCATCATCCAGCATGGTTCATAGTAGAAAGTTGTGACAATTTGAGTGTTAATTAGACAACTATCTTTCAGATTATATTGATGGAGAATTGTTCATTCTTTGATTTGTGAGCTCAAAGCTACATCATCAACATCACTTTAACCCTCACCTTCTTGAGGTTGAGTTGATGCCCCTCAAAGTTAAGTGGGAAGTGGGAACCCATGTACAAAGTTTTAGGTCACAGGAATTGATGAGCCTGATCTTCCTAATATATTGTTGTTTTGTGCACCCTATTTTCCTTTGATCAAATTTTAATCAAGTCCTTGTGGATGATCTTAGCTGAATGTCTAGATTTTCTACAACGAGTTTGCTAAAACATTGCCGTAAAAGGCAATAATTAAGGAATCAATAAGTAAAAAAAATATTAAAAAGGATATTGCAAACCAGTGTCTTTACTACACTGGTTAAGAAATCAATACATAACATATTGTTTCACGTATAGTGTATTAAAAATTATAAGAGTAAATATCTTTTTACGTTTTATAATATATACGTTTTTTACTTATAATTTCTTAACCTGGAGCACCTATTGCATTAAATGTTGTATTTTTGAAGTTAATATTTTGATAGTACCAATTCCATTGCAGTGCTTGCACTCACATCACATTATAAATATCATATCTTAACAGCGTGATATGTCAAATCTTCCCGTTGCTGTAAGCATATTGCATGGCCTGTGCCAAGCTTAACCATCACTGCAACAAATCCAAGTTACTGATGGAACATTGTGTGAAACAAAATAAATATAAAAACCAATAGCAGACAAAGAAGAAATTGGAGTAATGAAACAAACTTTTCTGGCTGCTATTGGGCAACTGTGGCTAGTGAGTGTTAAGCAAGAGTTGAGGAGAGTGCAATACTACATGGGTTATATCATAAAACATATGACACAACGGTTACAGCCTTCTTTATTTAAATATATCATTATAATTATTTAATAAACTTTTTAATATATTATTTGTCAGTGATTTTTTTATAATTTTGAGATTACTCAATCAGTGTAAATATTTTTTCATTATATTTAAAAATTTTACATGAAAAAAGGGGTAAGAGAGAAAAAGAATGATTAATTAAAAACAAATTTCATTTTCTTCCTATAGATAAATAAGTAGAAATTAATTTAATATTTTATTTTATTAAAAGAAACTAAAATTGCTAAAAGAAAAAAGTACAATGAGTGCTTTACTTACTTTGTGAGAGAGATAATTATGTTATTTATTTTAGTATTTGCTATGGTATTCCTAAATTGAAGGGGTATTGAATAATCTCTCTATATTATATTATATTAAGATATTAAAAGGTATTTATGTTTTTTAAAAATAAACTATTAACTCCACTGTTGTTTCACGTATAAGAGAAAAAATACTCTTCAATTCCTATGGTAAATTTACCATTTATTTTTTGGTTTGAAGAAAAAATACACGCTTAATGTTTCCGAGATGAAAGATTGCTTAAATTGCACTAAACCCTAAAACCCAATAGCCTACAAAGAAAAATGTTGAATCGACATGAATTATTCCAACTTCAGTCTAAAAAATATTTTATTTTTTTAATGATTTCAACTCCATAAAGATGTTATTCTTCCACTGTTAGTACTTTTATCATGGGCTTGAAATAATTGGATAAAAAAAGGAACGGGCCTGGAAAATACAATATTTGTGATTTTGGAGCCCACTGAATGGAAACAAGAAGAACTGAAAACAGAGTGGGAGGGGAAAGAGAGGGAGCGAGGGGAGAAGAGTTTGGTTGCGAATATAACCGAGTATTCGTATTGGCTAATCCTTTCTCATGATATGGATAGCCTACGCCAAGAGAAAATTCAAAGATTTGAAGAATTTGTTGATAAACGCTTGAAACCTGATCTTCTTCATGCTATTGCTCAGCGGTATAGTGTTTGCTCCTGTGGATTTTATTCTCACTTGTTTTAAATAATGTGTATAAACTATAAAATGTATGCCATATTCAATGCTGTTTTTCTACTGTTACCCTAGTTCGTGCTAATAGGAATTGTATCAGTCTATAAGATACACATGATGAAGATGCTTTGTTCATTCTGCAGCATACGTTAAAGATGCATGTCTGTTGTTAGGTTTTCTGAGGTCTTGAATTTGTAGCTTATTAAAATGGATTTAAACAAGCAGTTGTATATGTGCATGCCTAACAGCTTTGCCTTGTCTATTTCGTAGGCTTTCAGTCTTTACTTATTTTTCTCATCTCTGTGTTGCAGGGACAAAGTATTTGAACAACAGAAAACTTTGTATCCTTTTTTACTTTGATCATTTGATGTATACGGATAGGATCAACTGTGACACTGAAATATTTACACAATAAATTTTTGAATCATGCATTTCTCATATAATCTGCAGTGGCATGTAAAGTTTTGTCCTATGAAATTATTCTTGTCAGCTGAATTTGTATCTAATGGCTGATGGTTAGTGACTAACACGAAAACTAATTATTTCATTGTTGACTAACGACTAATACCTAAACTAACTAGTAGTTCAGTACATTTTTATATGGTTTAGATTATTTTAAAAATAAAAAACATTTCAAATAATTAAATCTGTATCAGTATCTGATTCATGTGAAACTTAGTATGTTGCTTATAATCCACGATATTGCTGCAGTCAGTATAGGACTGTTGTTATGTCTTAATCCGCTTGACTTCTCCATCAGTGCTGATTTGCGAAAGAACATTGAAAGCCTAGAGAAGAATAGTGTAACCAGTCTAAGAACCTTGGTCAATCTTGGTTCTGAAGTATACCTGCAGGCCGAAGTGTAAGTCATCAATATTACAGCTTTGGTTACTAGTAGCAATTATTCCTTGCTCAAATTTCATGTATGTTGTTTGATTTTTGAAAGGTACAGTTGTTCTATGTCACCAATCTGTATGATCAAACATGTTTGTCCTTTTATATATATATATATATCATCTTAATAGTCATCAATCATCATCAAGTTATCAAATATTCAGATTTGTGCTATACAGTCCAACTTGTATCTATACACTTTTCCCACTCCTCTCTCCAAGGTGGAATGAATGCATGGAGGTTCAAGCCTAGAACAACCCCTCACTATTTGCACACTTCAAGTTCTTTTAATTTGTGCACTTATACTTGCATAAGTTGTTTCAGTCTTCAGTCCAGTGAAATGCACATCTCTTTTGTATTTTATCTATTTGATTAAAACTTACAGGCCCGATACACAACACATATTTGTGGATATAGGATTGGGATTCCATGTGGAATTAACTTGGTCTGAAGCTTTGAAATACATCCGAAAAAGGGAAGAAAAGATAACCAGGTATAAGTTTTGATTTAACATATTTTTCCTAGTTGAAACCTGAAAATTAATTTTTTTATTATGGCTTTCCAGTTTTTTGTTTCGAAGTTTAAGCAACAATATAACTTACTTCAGTGGAGCTGTTTAAATGGCATTGAATTTCACATAGTAAAATTTTTGACCAAGTTCCTCATGTTTCCGATGTTAGACATATTCTATTTCAATAGTCACCATGAGTTTGGTTCATCCATCTACCTGTAACTTGAAAAATGCACTAATTCTTTAGATATACTCTTTAGTTATTTCTTTGCCTGGGAGGAGGCTGCAGGTGATTGGATTCTAGACTTAAGTGGGATTCATATCTTGCATGTGATTGACATATGACACTGTTTTTTCTTTCAATCTGTCTTCCCTTGCATATGTTTTGGACATAGTTAGGCTGAAAGCTGTTAATTGATGAATGTCTAGGTATAGCATGGGTTAGTGAAATCTTAAGCTGGCTTGAGAGTTGTCACAGGTTCCCCATAAAAAAAAAGGAGAAGGATAGTTTGGAAAGCTTGACTAACACAAATTACAAAATTCTGGGCTTAAGCTTTTTGGACAACATGGTGTTAGTATATAAGTTTGAAGCGCTAGGATATCAGCTTCTTGGTTGGTTGTTCCATCAACATCAAGATAGAGCTACAGAAGTTTTGTCTAACATTATTAGCGAAACAGTTAAAAGATCTTTGTTTAAATTCAATGTATTTAAACATAAACAACAGTTACTACCTTGAAATGTGAAAAGTTATTGACCTTCTGTTGTATGCTACCCTTTGGCGACAACTGTGCGGCTGTGCCCATTTTGGGGCAAATTTATCATCAACCATTTTCCCCTCTTTTTAATGTGTTGTCATCATCAATTAGTTTTCTTCTTTATTTTCTTTTCCTTTTTAAGGTTGAAAATAACGTTGCATGTTCAAACTTAAGCCATGGCTTTTGTCTTACAGGCAGATAGAGGAGTACACTCAGTTGATTGCATCAATCAAAGCCCAAATTAAGCTAGTATGTATAATTCTCTCTGTTTTCTCCAACTCACAGACTTTTTAATCCCCTCAGAAATTCTTTTCAGATAAGGAATGGTACTTGTTTAATTAAATACTGCTGCCATCAATATGGGCTGACCTCCCCTATTTATTTAGCCTTAGACCACATGTACTAGGTGCAAAAAGCCTATAAGGGACAAGGCCCACAAAGTGTCATCTACCCCTAAGGCCAAAAAGCCCACATGTGAGATAGGACCATATTCAAGCTGTCCATATACTCATTTCAATATTTGTCATAATTTTCTTTATGCTCATAGACATGAGCCCCGTATAACCTCATCATCATAAACAAGCTTTCTTCCAACATGCATATTCAATCTTACAAACTTGCATGTAAATGAAGTTAGGAGCCAGATAAGATGAACTGGGGATTATGTTTGTGGTGTCATTCTTAATGGTTCCAAGAATTCACCTATGGGCTTTTGCCTTGAGAACTTTAGGCTAGGACTGAGTGTGATGGTGGGTTTGCCCGTATTGATGGCTTTTTTATTGAAAATATCTAAGGAAATGTTGGGTATGTAGACAAACAGAAACAAAGGACAAGAGGAAAGAATAGAACACACAATTTTTGGAGGAAGAAGTGATATTCATTCACGTTCAGAATTTCTTTTGTATACATACACAGACATCTTGTAAGAAGAAATGCAATATTACAACCAAAAAAAGCATGGGCATCATTGACTTAGCAGACCCACTCCCTCTCAGAACATGGGTTATCATCCATCATTACCTTCAACATGACTGAATAGGTTACAAACCAGAAAAATGTAAAAACAACATGTCTAATTGATTTAACTTCCAAAATATAAGAAAAGTCTAATTTTAATAGAGTAACGTTTGACATAATTCTGGAACTGACCCAGGATTGAATTTTCCCTGAAAGATATTTTAGGAAAGCTTTAAACTGTTTCAAATCTAAATAATAGTGGTGATATTACATTCTTTGGAGTACCAAAACTTTTGGTTGTTTCAGGTATGTGAAGGGATTCGAGAATTACTTGAACTTCCAGCTGAGAAATCCTTACCACAACGGATATTTTGATATTTCCCGAGTATATACTAAACTCATATCCTTGTCTCTTCGTCACAATTGCAAGGAAGCAATACAAGTATGTGAAGCAGATCAGAGATTGATATTTATCCAGTGTGAAAGATCGAATTTCTTTTTCTGACCATACATTTTGTCTTTCTAGTTAATTTTGTGCAGTGTTGTTAAGTAGTCATGTCGCATGTAATGAACAGAAACATTTAAGTCTGATCCCTACACCTATGATTTTATCTACCCGAAACATGAAGCAAAATTTCTGCTAATGTATTTATCTACGGAATGAAGACTCTAATGTTCTCGCACTTCTGAAGTAAATGTGTACCAGACCTTATTTTGTCGAGTTATTATTTATTTATTTTATTGTGGTGTCCTCGCTTCCGTGTTTTGGTGCCATTGTGATGCCTTGGCTTTCATTTAATATTTTTAAGGACATGTTTGTATGTGTTAGAAGTCTTTTTGGTCACAAGGGGTGGTTCTAAAGTAACAAGTTTAAACCCAACGTTTTAGGCTATTTCGAGTTCTAATGTAATGCACCAAAACAAAGCAACAACTTGTTGCTGTAGAACAAATTTAGCTTTGAGTAATTTGAAAACCAATAAATATAATAGCTTTTGCAATATCGGGCTTGTGTTCACGGGAAGTCGCATGTCAGGAGAGGTGGATTTGTTTTACATTCAAAGAATTGGATATGAACTTTGCTGGACAAAAACAAAGGACTTTTATGGTCAACCAATATAAAGAAAGGTTTCGCAGTAGGAATTTGAAGCCACACGGCAAAACACGAAAGAAAAATGGATAGTTAAGCATGTGTAAGTAGCTGTAGTTGTGCACGTGATGTTCTCCATTTTATGAAAACCAAAAACAATTAAAAAAAAAGATAATTGGAGAATTATGTGAATTAATTACTATTTTAATTTCGAAAGTATTTTACCAAATGTTATAAATTTTATTTTACTTTAGTTGTTGATGCTAACAAAAAAATATAACAAAAAGATTAAAATAAATAATTTTTTTATAACATGTTGGAAAGTAAAATGTAACTTTTATCAAGTCAGTAAGTAATACTTGCAATATTGGAATAAAAAAATGATTTATTCAAATCAATTACACACTGGAGAGAATCCAACATGGATACCCAAGTCACTTCATTATTCATGAATGCTGGGGCTTTAATAATACAATATGTTGCAAGAACATCTAACCCAGACTAGTACCATCACGTGTTTGTGGTAAAATTATCGAGAAGCTTTTGTATGCATTCATTGAGTTATCTGTTCCGTCGTAGAGCTACAATACAAAATTACAAATTATAATGTTCTAAAGAAAATTGGAATTAAAAATGACATCAAAGAAACCGGTCACTACTAGGCTTGGAAGAAAAAGGACTGAACTAGTGAGAAGGGTGATGGGACCTATAACGTAAACGAAAATCAACACAGTGCATCAAAAACAAAGGCAACGTCATGTCTTAATTTGTCTCATTGGTTAATGCCATCATGATTGATGATTGATCATAAGGCTGTTGCTGCTTTTATGGGTTGTTGTGTTGTGATATGAATTGCATCTGAATCTGATTTAACGGAAGCATCAACATAGGTTCCATCACCTACACTGGACACATCCATCCTTCTCATTTACAGCAATAACACCTTCTCTTTAGCTTTTTCTCAGATTTAACTCTCACTTTGCTCTTTGCTTCATACTTTTCGTACATTTCAAGGCTGGTGTGAATCTTTATCTTTTTTTAAAGTAAAAATCATTACATGGTTTTTAAATTATGTTAAAGAAAACTACCAGCGTTGGTTATAACTAATAAATATTGAAATAAATGTAATTTAAACATATTATCATATAAACTATTCTTGTTAAAGGAGAGAAGAGTATTAAAAAGAACAAAATTATCCTATGGTTTAACACTAGCCCTAAACTTAGCGCATTCTTATTATTGTCCTAAACTTAGCCCAAGGAAACTTGAAATGCCCTTGTGCCTTTTAAACGGGGATTGCTTACATTTTGACGTTATGGCTCAATTGCTCTGAATTATGGGTCTCTTGTGCCCGACTTTTGATGTGATTTTATGGTAGGAAATGAAAAAGAAGTAATTATTGCCTATGTGATGCATTGCTGTGGAAGGATCACAAGTAAACAAATGAACTAGTAAGCCCTAAACACACACAGTTTAGTTACCACTTAAAAATGAACTAGTAAAAATAATGTTGCCTACTATGCAAGAGAACAACGAAATACAATTTTGCATTTCTACTATATAAATAGTTAACATGCGAGACTTGATTTTAAGTGAATAATATTTGCAAACTTTTCATGTACATAATTACAATTTCTTTACAAGACAAGTGATGGTCAACAAGATCATAGTTAGACCTTTTCCAAAACGCTTGATTTATTTGCATTTATCTATGCTCAATGTGAGATAATGATTATCTACCTTCCCACAAGATTTATCTATTGTGTAAATTTTAATTAAAAATGCCATTTTAAAAATTGCCCTTGAAAAAAATAAAATAAAGAAATGTGAGTAACATTATTCAAGAATCTTAAGAGGGGGGGGGGGGGGGGGGGGGGGGGGACCCTTAAAGGGTGTGTGATGTATAGGTGGAATGGGGTATGTGATAGTAAGGGCATGGCACTATCACTGCCAAAAACCATATTCATTTATCAGTCTTTCTGTCCCTTCCCTTCCAATGGACGTGCAGTACTGAAAAGTATCTGACCCACATGCAATGTAATGCAAAGCCTAAGCATATGCATATGTACTGTTACTAAGTAGCTCAAGGGACAAAAGGGGAACTTCAAAACACTCACTTTACTCCCTTTCAAACCCTTTCTTTTCTTGGCTCTTAGTTTTGTTTTGTTTTGTTTTATCTCTCTCTGCCTCTCTAATAATAATTATAATAATTCAATGCAATTGGGCTAGTATTTGACGTGCAATGTGATTCTTTAACTGAGCTGCTTCTGTACTGTACCATTCCCTGTGGGTCCAATAACAGTCTTTTACACTCTTGTTTTTTAGTTAATCCATAGACTTGGTTACCTTTTGCTTTGAAATTTGGGCTCTTTACCCTGCCACATTTACTTTTATGGCTTCCTTGCATGCAAAAATAATGGTCCGGTTGTTTTATCTATGCCACTTTATATTTATATTGATTATATGCAGGAAAAAAAATCATAAATGAATAGTTCAAAAATAAGGTGTAAAGGTGAAAGTAAAACAAAATGTCATAAGTGATGTATCGTAATAAAAAGAGAAAATGATAAAGAAATATAAGAGATAAAATGTCGAATAAGTAAAAAAAATTTTGCACAAAAGAGAAATGAGATGTAAGAAAATGGTGAGATTTGAAAAGGTTGTTATATACGTGAAAAATATCCATTCCTTTTGACTTGACTTCATTTCTTTGCCATTATGCTTAGATGAAGCCGTCTTTACAGTTATGTAAATAGTTGTTATTAGGTACTTTACGTTTGGTCAGTTTCACAAGTTAAAGCTGCATACACAGATTCGATGCACAACTACCTAAACCTGAGGATTGAAGATTATACACTTTGTACCTGTTTATTTTAGCTTTCAGAAAAGTAATTATAAGAATCGATGAAAAAGCAATTTATATTTTGGAAAATTATTATTTCACATCATTTAGAGTGTCAAATGGGTGACTGGATGTCAGAGATAGAAAAAAAGAAAAAAGAAAAAATGTGACATTAAAACAAGTGAGATAAAAAGGAAAAAAAAATGTAAGAAAAAATAGTATAAAAATTAAAAATGTTATATTTTAGAGATTTTACGGAAAGTAAAAGTTGTATTTTTGTAGTTATAATTATAAAAGGTGTTTCTTATTTTAAAAATAATTATAATTTCAGCTTTTTCTAAGAAACTACTCAATAATTTCTTTAAACAATAAGATTTTGTTTTTTTAATTCTAATTTTTACAAAAGCTTAAATAAATGCACTAAACTTTTCAAACTGATTTTTTATAAAATAAATCTTTCATGAATATACTTTTTTGTTCTTTGTTGAAGCTATTCTTTTGTATCTGCCTAATCAGTTGATTATTCACCTGACAAGAATTCCATGGCATTAATATAAAGCATATATAAAAATTGACTACTGGGAGCAAACATCAACTGGGAACCCATGCATCTAGATTAAGCATGCTTGCTTTAACCAATCATTTTTTCACGAATGATTAAACATGTGGAAGGTTTTTACTTGCCATATCTTTAGTGGCAAATGTAGAAACATAAAAAAATGGTATGGATGTAAAATCCAATGCCTATTAAAACTGAGTCAGAAGTAATTCATCTTAACAAGAATTACAAAATTAAACTACTATTCTTATGAATGTCACAATTAAACCAGAAAAGAAATATACAGTTAGAAAATGGAGAACTTTTTGGTTAGATAAATGCAAAGATTACAGGTCTTTAGTTTTCATATGCTGCACTCATATCTATCCAGCACATGTTATATTTTTTTTCTGAGTCCCAGATATCTTAAGGTTGGTAATTTAATTAAACTATCTTGAAATCAAATGGCATTGGCAGAAGAGTTATAACTCATCACTAGCAGTAGAACATGAGCTTCTTGATGTTTTCACTAAGTTTAGGTAGAGGCGCTGTTTTTGGAGGAGCAGCTCTAGATAATGTAGATGTACTTCTGAACAAGCCTAAGGATTCTGATCTCTCAAGGTAGAGTCTACCTCTGTATGCAGCTAAATGTGCATAATATGCAGGAGGAACCAAAGAAATTGGTTTGGTACACCTAACAAAAGTGTAGCATAAATTGTAAACCAATTTCTGAAGTTCATCAGAAGTAAACTGATTTTCATCCCACAAGACATGGTAATGAGTAGGCCTACTTGTTCCTTTCACACCCCAATGGCTGCATAGATAGAA